TCCATAACTTGTTGTGATCTTAAAGAGATGACTGTTATCGGAGCGCTTGCAGATTAATGGTTTTCGTCTGTTTTTTTTTTTTTTAAATGGGGGGGGGGGGCTTAACGGCTCAGCAACGATGAAGTCATATCGACCCTGACATCAACAATAAGGGACAATTACGCAACTTAACACACCAAAGAAACGTAGTAGTAAAATGTTAAAATACAAAGACGAACAAACTAGTGAACAGCATCGCAAAGTCTGTTTGTCTTGCCTCTGCAAAGATATGATTTCTGATATTTATCTGGTTATGTAAACTAGAAGTCGTGCTGGTAAAAGTTACTTTCTCCAATGGTCACTATCCTCGAGAATCCATCACAATGTCATACGCAATCGCTATTGTTGTGTTAGCATGCTAGTGCTCTAGCTCGAAAGTTAACATTTCAAAATATATTTTTTATAATAGATTCCACACAAAAATCTTCACAAAATTTCGAATGAAAGAATTGAAAATTACTTTTCCCGATTAGTTACACAATAATCGAGTTTTTCATTTCAGTTTTCCGGTTTTACCCCTCCTGTTTCTTGATTAAGTCTAATTTCTCAAGGAGACGTACCGCTAGAACGTTAGCTGCAGTCTATATCGTCTATCACCAGAGCACAAATTACTGTGGTATCGATTCCTTATGGGATCGGTTCATAGGTGACGATAATGCACTGTTCGTGTTGTATTTGATTAATTGTTTTATACAAAATCACTATATTAAGCAAGTTATTATTTTAGTTTCTTTGATGAGCTGATAATAATTCCACATGCATTTTCCTATGACTGAAGTTTTTAAACATAGGCCGTTGACATAAAAACCGTTACTCACTTTTTATCAGTTCCTATTAATTTTAAGACATATTTTTGTTTGTATTTTTTTTTTATTTTAAACATTATTGACGTCATTTATTAATATCGTCATACCGCAGAGGAATATTCGCTAAATTCGAAAATTGAGTAGTCAAGTCGTCGCGGAAAGCATATCGCCATCCTGCTACTTGTTGATATTACATATTCAGGTAGACTTCATTGTGAAAGCTGGAAAGATAGATTTGTTTCTGTTCGTGTTATTTGTATCTAGTGACACTGACAACGACATTTCATTTAAGGAAGCGGGAAACGGACGTGCTAGATAGTAAGAGCTTACTTTTAAACTTAACAGCATTGACCTGTGGCATGGCTGCAAATACAATTTCTTTTTACAAGTTAATTTAATGTTCACCTACAACTTATAGAGTATGGTAATTTTAAAAGAAAAACAAATTCCATATTGTTTGTTCATTTATACATAGTCTGATGATCCGAAACATATTTTACTTTTAGAAAGTGACATTGCAGCGCAAATGTAAATTAAGTCAAAATGTTCATTGCATGAGGGCTGATTCAGTATCCGGTATGCATTAAGATAACATATATCACCTGTGCGAAGTCGTGAGAGGAAGGATTTCTTTTCTACGATTTTCCCTAGGAGGGAGTTCCTTTTGGTTTAATCGCATAAAGTTATCGTTGATATCTGACCATTTTCATTGCCAGTTGTTTTCTTATGTTACTATCTACACGAGCTAGAAAGTTGAAATAATGTATTATGTTTTGTTATGGAGGTATTTGTAAAGGAGTATTATTAGCGTATTTTTAAAAATGTTGCCTTACTGCTATTACATAATATATACATACTCTTAATTAGCGTATTTTCACTCTTTTTTTTCTTTAATTTATCTATACAGGCAAGATATTTTGTTTTTTTTCATATGTGCTACTGTTACAACTAAATGAAACGAAATGTCGCAATTCCAATTCGTTATAATTTGGTTTGCTGAATCCAGCCGCCCCTTAACTTGTGAATGGAGCTGTCAGGCAATATTGTTTTAAAAACTGAATGGCATTGCATTGCTCACCTTTTTAAACAGTAAGATCAGCAAATACTTTATCATTGAAATAACCAGGGATGACCATTTCAAAATTTCCCAAGGTGTACGATTTAGCACCGTTGAAAGTCATTTGACAATATGTCAAAGCAATATTTGTATCCTATTCCCAAACATTATTATGACGACATGTTTGGTTGTTTGACTGGGCACAGTCACATGACAGTAAACCTGTCACATTATACTGGGCTAAATAGCCCTTACTGCCACCAATTCGTAGTTGAGCGTTAAGTAAGGAAAGCAATAAGAAAGACAATGAATGGCTCAGAAGGATCTGCAGGGATTTCCACAATCATGCCGTTAAGCAATCATGAAGTCTGTTTCAGCAGGCTAATTTCGTATCTGAAACATAAGGAATATTGTACACGAATGAGACGATGGAAAGTTAACAAACCGTAAAATTTCAGATAGAAATGAATAGCAGTCATTGCGAATTATGTTAATTTCCTAACCAAATATAACTGATTGATCTAAGGCAAGTACCGAACGTCTAGTCTAGCAAAATTTACACACGAAGTGTGCTCCTATATAGGTAAGACAAGGCACTGGTGTATTTCTGTGCTGAACGGATCGGGGTCTAGACTTTGTTGCGGAGGTGTGGGAAAGGGCTATCTCCAGACCAATTGAGTAATAATTCAGCTTGGAATGACTCCAGGAAATAAACATCACACGCATCGTCATAAATATAGATAATACTACCCAGTGCAGACTAAAGAAAGGTCACCACTATTCTAAATTGAATTATCAGTATGTGGAGGAGTAATTTAGCTAATTAGAAAGAGATTGCCTCTCTTCTGTCGTATGCGCTGCACGTTCGGTTGTCGGGAATTTCTTGGTTTCTCACAAGTTTTTAGTCACTCTCATAATTGAAGATGTCGACTTGTGCAATATTTCATTGATCTTGAAACCGACAAATTTTAAGGCTTTTATGACGTTCCTTTAGAGGAATGATAATTGCTTTATACAGTGTAGTTGCACTTCAATCATTTTTCTTACCATGAGTTTAAGATGAAAACGAATACAACAACATATGGATATATGTTTCCAATTGCATATATATATATTACACACTCTCAATATCAAATCATATATCTTCCTCTTCCCCCTACGTATAGGATCTTTAATAATTATCAATATATCCCGGCAAAAAAATGTTTATATGATCATGCTTCTTTTTATGTTGCGATATGATGAATTCATTTATATATATTTAAAATCACTTGAAGTCGTTGGAAAATGTTTCCACACTTTTTTTTTTTTTTACATGTCTAAAAGTAACAGTTAAATACATTTTGTTTGGTTTGGTTTTATATGATTGAACGTCTTATCAGCAGGCAAGGTCTTTTAAGGACATGCCTCAATGTGTGTTGTGTATGCGTGCGTGTGTGTGTGTATGTGTGTTGGAGGCAGGTTATGTAATTGCCTCCTTGTGATAACGCGGATCTGATGCCGACTTTATAGTGCTATCTCAATGAAAGAAATAACATGCCGAAGGCACCCAGCACATATCCCGGCCGGTCACATTATACTGACAACGGGTGGACCGGTTGTTAACCTGATGAACGTTAAGCACGGAAATATGCCAAACATATTCATTTATATATAAAGTAATTCAATTGAAGTCTTTGGAAATTGTTCTGCATTTTTTCCGTTTAATTTATCCAAAAGTAATAGTTAGATACATGTTATGCCCAAAGACTCGTAGCAATTAAAGCAACACTCAGGCTTGATACAATGGAGTTTTATCCTTTTGAGTTGCGTTGTCGTGTGTCCGCAGCGCAAGATCAGCATTTGTTGACACAAATTGTATTCATGGTAATCAGTGGTAAGATGAATATGAAATGAGTCTGCTTGCTCATCTGCACGGTGCTGTTTAACTCTGCAAATTGAGTGATAACTATATATCTGCGCATTCATTACCTGGTGTTAATCACAAAGACAAATCCATCTGGTGTGCTCTCATTGATTTCTTGATGAAATAATGTTAATCAGCTACATTTTGTAATTATGTGCTTTGAAAGATTAGTTTATTAGGCATTGTTTATCAACTGGAGGGAGAGAGAATGGGATGGGAGTGGAAGCTGAGAGAGAGTGTGATAAATGAAGCAAAACTAGTCATTAAGAAGTTGCTCCACATTTTGCGAGCTGAAACATTCCTAGATTTTTAAAACGAAAGCTGTAATTTTTATATCGAAGGCATAATGTGTCACTGTCGTGTTCTTTTGTGTATTTTGAACGTAGATTTTTTTTAAATATTGACCACTGGTCTTTTACCTTTCTTGTTTTTCAAAATAATTTGTTTAGATTATTTTCATTTTAAAAGGCGATCCCTCTGTGCGTGAATGAGCTGTTAAAAATGTACAAACCATTTTGGAATTTCATATGTGCAATATGCCTATTTTTAATGCATTTCACAGCATTTAACTTCAACTTTCTAAGAAAATGACGAATAATTTCGAAGTAGCTTACATTTATATTCCAAAAATAAGATGTCTCTTTGTTTTTAATATGCCTTACAAATGTAATTTTGTGTTGCCCTCTTTGTCTTCTCCTGTTTGTTAGGTCAGGGTTCAATAGTAATTAAGTTAATCGTGCAATAAAGGCTGTCCATGTCATGATCTCATCAACACAGTAGCGCGTGTAAAACTTGTGAAAACGATGTCCAGTTTGAATTATTTATTGGCTCCTATTTTTGCATCGATTTTCCAGACAGAACAGATTTGATTTTAACATATCTCATTGCGTTTCATAGCAACAAGTTGACGTACATGTGATACAATTTATACAACAGGTCGAGTCATGTCCGTTCTTAGTTTTCTGAGGATATATGTTTGCATTGTGATCATTACAAAATGTTTGATTGATTGATTTATCCCCATAACATGTTCGTTGCTGTTTTAATAATGTTGGTTATACATGTATGAAATATAAAAAAAAATCTCATTTACGTCTTAGTAAATTTTGGGCTTTAAAGAAAGCATGTTGCAGTAAATCTTCTTTTGAGCGTTAAACCAATAAATTAATGCATGTGTTTTTGTTTTCTCCAGGTGCTTTCCTCATTCCGTACGCAGTGATGTTGGTAATTGAGGGTATCCCTTTGTTCTACCTCGAGCTTGCCATTGGTCAGCGCCTCCGGAAGGGGGCAGTCGGGGCATGGAATCAAGTCTCGCCATTTCTGCAGGGTCTGGGGCTGGCCTCCGCTGGAGTGTCCATTAACCTAGCCCTGTATTACAACACCATCATGGCGTGGTGCTGTATTTACCTTGTACAGAGTTTCCAAAGCCCCCTCCCCTGGTCAGTTTGTCCCACCATAACAGAAGGCAACGTCACCATTTTAGAACCGGAGTGCCAGGTATGTATTCTATTCAAGTATTTCTTTTGTGTGGGACGACTAATGGCCACCTAAATAATATTTTTCTTCTAACATTCAGGACATCCGAATCGGTATCACAATATTTGTCTTAATTTCACAACTGTGAAGCTGACATTATTTATCTTAGTACATACAAAACCAATCGCTTTACCTGTCTCTATCACATACATATTTGTGGCATTCTAATGCCCTTTTGGTTGTTACTAAAGACTTATTAAATATATTTAAGTCATCCGTGAAGTTTCGATTTACCGTCACCATTTACACCAGTTACAGGTTCGTAGCAAAAAAAGAGCTTGGATCTGATAAACCATTGATATTTAACTGAGATAAGGAAAAAGTATAAGGTTAAGCAAACGACGTCAAATCAATTGGTCATATTACATTTTACGGTAAAGATGGATTGACTGTAATTACTTATATGTAAATGACACAGAAACATTTATCATAATTGACTGCAAATGATAAGAGCGAATATGTATCAACAATGTATGTAAACATGAAAACAACAAGATGTAGCAAGGATAAAATGTTACTGCATGTTATGATAACTGTTAACAAAATTAAAAAAGTCTTTCCTCTATCCCCATCTCTGAGATTTCTTGTTAAAGGCTATTCAATTTTCCTAACTGGGATTTCAACTGCAAGCGCTAATGGGAAACGACCGTTATTCAGCCTCGTAAAGGCAATACTTTATATACAATGAATGCTTTAAAGTACAGTGCTTTTTTCGTATAAAAACATTTATTGATTTTAAAATATCAAATTTGTTCCATTAATTTTGCTTTAAAAAGAAATTCACGTATCTATTATTTATTCTGAAACACCTATATGGTTCCTAGGTAACGTCCTCTCAAGGGTTTATTTTGACTGTTAATGGTGCATCTCCAAAAGCATAATTAGTGAACGCTTAAGATCATATTAGTTACTTCTTGACTGTTATTTTAACTATTGATCATGAAGAATATTCATCGGTATTATTTGGTTTTAAAGTCACTTAAGTGTAAGAAATAATGGCAATATTACTTAGTTTCAGTTCAAGAATTGCCAAACCTAGACATCTAAAAAAATCTTTTTTTTCATTGAAGAAGCTAAGCTTTTGTTCTGATAATACGGAGAAAAAATCGCAACCACATAAAATCACATACATCAAGTGTATTTTCGCGCATGTACTGTGGGATTGTGTCAATATTTGTGACAATCCTGACAACAAGTATAATTGAGTGTTGATTTCCTTACATTTTTTTCTATACGAACGAGAAAGAAGTTCTGTTTTTTCCTCTTTATAGAGAGCTTCACCACTATTTATTGTTGAAAAGGAGCTTTTGAATAACACTAATAACATATTTTATTATTTTGATGTCATTGTTTTTTGTTGCACGAAGCCCCCTTACCCTACGTCAGAAACGAATGAATAAACAGTCCTGTTATTGTTTCCCTTGTTCATAACTTAAACACTAATTTCTGTTGGGACCTCCATTGATAAGATAGAATAACAAATACTGATGCCTACAAATTAAGTATGCTGCATTTTGTCTGGATCTCGACCAGCACAAAATATTGAAGTGGAGGTGTTTAAATTTTCATAATTGTATTCTGTTTCTCAAAAATTTCTTGCCAGAAAGCGTTTAATAGAAAAGGTTGCACTGCATGTACCTTCCATTTTTGCGAACATTCATTTTCGTGCTTGTTTCAACGATTTCTTCAACTGAATTTGAACAATAAACTATATTCAAAATTAATTAAAACATTTTTTTTATGTTAACAAGCTAATAACAACGACATTTCAAGATTAACGGGTACAAAGTTGGCCGGTGGAGTTGCAACATTAAGCCTAAACTCATCAATTTCCTTCGTTTCAGGATATGTTCTGTTCAATAAAATGAAAACTGTGGCATCACTCTAACTTTATAGGAAAACAATCATGACTTCATAATAAATGTATTAACAACGAAACGATGCAATTGATGCTGACATCGAGTTAACATTAGCTGTCGAAATGTCCTATTAAATTCTGCCATCAATAAGAAATACCGCTACATTACGAGAAAACTGGAAAGTTTTCAGATTTTTTGTTTAATACTTCGGTGTGAACAAATGATAAAAGACATGCAGAAATTTGGAAGATTATTTCATCTGACAATGAGTTTTAAGACCTTTAATGTGAAGCCCAACCCTCGGATTGGCGGCCGCGAAACTCCATCGGACACATAACTTCATTACGTTTTTTTGAAATATTGAAAGGAACAATTACGAACCGGTAACCATTGTTTGAACACTTATGATTTTTGGTAATCATATGATGACAATATACAGTCGAATTCCCTCTCAATGCAGTAACCACTATTTTTCGAACAAGCACTATACATTTCCTCTCTCCGAACTCATTGCATAACGCTTCTAGGAGTTGGTACATGTTTTGGTTAATCACTAGTTGGTAATTATCTGGACGTAATGCATCATCAAGAGAAGCATATCATTTTTTAAATATAATATCAGGATGTTATGGGAGAAAAGGGTCCCCAAATTCGTGATGGTTGATTATCTTGTTTATGTATCACTCTTTAGTTAATATTTTAATTGTAAAAGGCACTCGATGAATTATACATTTCGAAATCTAAGTGATATGCAGTAATGTATAACAAGCATTGTCCTTGTGTAAGCATGTACTCCACATTCTGTAACAAACGTCCTCCGTATCGGTTTGTATCATTTGTTTCTCTCCCAAGAAAAGTGGCTCCACCTCCTATTTTTGGTACAGACAAACCTTAGACATAGCACCTTCAATAGAATCGCCTAGTGTTATCAACTGGAAGCTGGTCGTGTCATTATTCGTGTGCTGGCTCATTGTGTACCTGTGTCTCATCAAAGGAATAAAGTCATCAGGAAAGGTATGTATACAATGCACCTTTAGACGTGGAAACTGATCAATTGAAAATATGTCTAATACTTCCAAGTCATTATCAAATAATAAACAAATATTCGTGTTTGGAATTTTTTTTGAATTAATCTAAAATTTGGACTGCAAAATGAGTCTGTACAAATATTTAGTAACTGTGCCCTTCGCCAAATGGATCAAGTGCAACACACTAGCGTCCGACACATGCAAAGAATGCATGCAACATGCCTCTCATAGACTTTCTCTCCAAAAGCATTTTTCCCTTACCAATGTTATAAAGATATTTCCGAGAAATCGTCACAAAGGGTAAAATTAACGTTTATAACGCACAAACTCTGTCTCCGTGTATTTCCAGGTGGTGTATGTCACAGCTACATTCCCATATTTGGTGCTCGTCATATTTTTCTTCAGGGGTATCACCCTGCGTGGATTTGAGCGAGGGTTGTGGCACCTGTTTGTTCCGGAGGTAAAGTAATTTGATAATGTTTCCAACTAAAGTGATATGCAATTGATTCTGTTCTCTTCTCTCATAAATATATCCTACAATATTATTCCTACAAAAGTATGATAGTCTCATGTTCAAAACAGACAAATATATGGTGCTGTACCATTACCTAAAACATTACGTCCTTATCGGCCGACACAAAAAAAAAAAAAAGATTAAAGGAAATGACATCAAATGAGAGTAAATATAACACGAACGTCAACTTTAAAATTGATAAAGGTTATATAGTTGGTTATATATTTTGGCACAAACACACAGTTTTCTAGTAATCAAGGATTACAGATACATTGACAGTTTCGACAGAATATTTACTTACATAAACGTAAAATAGAAAGGCCTTGAAAGCCAAACCCTTCCACGGTAGATTTATGTGTATATTAACCATATATAAGCTATCTCTTGGGAGCAAAGCCCTATCGAGATCGATTCATGTGTTCATTTACCATATATGCTATTTCAACGACATTGTTTATGGTTCTGTTGTTTTGCAGTGGAAGTCTCTTATTGATCCAAAGGTGTGGCTGGACGCTGCCACTCAAATATTTTACTCATTTGGTCTGGCATTTGGCTGTTTGATCGCTCTTTCCTCCTATAACCCCGTCAGGAACAATTTCGCAAAGGAGGCCTTCTTTGTCACTATCTGTGATTTCTTCACTTCCATTTTCACTGCCACAGTCGTTTTTTCCATACTCGGTAAGTGATCGCCAGAGTTTTCTTCCCGCTCTGAAGTGTCTTCATGATCGCTGGTGCTCTCTCTCTCTTCTCGGTCAGTGCCTATTTTCCTCGACAAATGCCCTTTCACAGGCTTTTTAATATATATTTATCTCGAAGTTTTAATATTGTTCTGCATTATTGGTAAGTTATGGCAATTATTTCAGTATCTACATTGTAGATCATCGAAAATGCGTACATTTTACATATCTTTCATATAAATATTGGTATGTCAATCAATGTCAGACATATCGTTAAAACTGCAACAGCTCATAATTTATATATCCCAATGGATTGTCATCTGACAGGGACTTATAGCTAGATTCAGTCGATACCCATGGGCAGGTAGGGGAAAATACACGTCATACATACAAATGCATGCCTTAAAAGGCCATTTGTATCACCCTCCACACAATCGAATTTAAAGAAACCCTAAATCATCTGTTCTCCCTTTGCAATATTTGGGATCTATAGATTTCATTTTCTCATTTTCCTATCGTTTCTTTGTGGTAGTGTCTCTTCAGGTACCCCAAAACAAACAAATTTCGCCCCTTCATTTTTCCAGGATTCAAGGCCACTATTGCATACGAGGAATGTCTCGAAAAGTACGGAAATGGAACTGACGTCATCACGAACGGACATTCACATGTCAACCACACCTGTGACTTTAAAACCATACTTATAGAGGTAAGCATTTCAGGAAAGACCTCTTAATTATTTCGTTCTTTAACCAAACTACAGATAAAAACGTAATATTTCGTTCATAGTTCCGTCATTTCAAAACTGATTACTAATTCTAACAGCTTCATTTAGCTAACACTATCTTCTACTTTCTTATAGAAGCTTATAGAAAGGGAAGCAACTCTCAAATACCACACCCTTTAAACCAAAAAGGCTTAGGTTCTATACAATCTCAGTATTCAATTATATACGCGATGTCGATGAACACGTTGTTCATAGATAAACCACATCAATGAATTGAACATTCCGTTTTAATGAATGGTCACCTGCTAAACTGCATTTCACACTGTATTCCAGCACTGTATTACCACTACAAAATCATTGTTGATAAGTGATTTCCTTACAGTCGGGTTCCGGAACCGGTCTGGCGTTTATAGCATTCACAGAGGCAATCAATCAGTTCCCAGTGGCACAGCTTTGGTCCATCCTCTTCTTCCTTATGCTTTTCACACTCGGCCTAGACAGCATGTTCGGTACGCTAGAGGGCGCTCTCACCTCCATCAACGATATGATGCTGTTCCCAGGGGTTCGCAGGGAAATTATATGCGGTAAGGTTGTATGATTGACTGATAAAATTTCCACAGCTCCTTAACACAAAAGAATCATACTTGGTCAAATGTACATAAATGGTTAATGTCAAGAAGGAAACTATGATACCATAATAAGCGTCATATTTATAAATTGAACTTACTTCCTTTTGAATTGAGGACGTTCGCGATAGCACATCTTGGGTAAATTTTGAAATATTGTAGAACGGAAATGCATACATGTAACAAGGAAAACACAAAAAGTCAGTTTGCAAGCATTCGCGAAATTCCTTTTTATTTTGAATTTTACCTCAGGTAACGATTGGATCAAGATATCCCTATCACGGAAAACCCCGAACAGTTTCTGATTGACAAATTAAACCGAGTGTGATTAAAGAAAAAATATTTCATTTTAACTTTCTTGACGGCCTATCGATAAAAAGGTCAGAAGGGCAAAGTAAAGGTCGAAAAAAACATGTTAAGGAAATGGCATCAACCAAACGATAAGATAAACGCCAGCTTGCAATGGAAAAACAAGTTTCTTTTTTTGAACTATCTAACACTTTTCAGGTTATTCAGAACTGTAGAAAAATTGACTGCTGCGAAAGGAGGTTTGAGACTTGTTTAAACTAAAAATATCCAAAACGTGCACGACAGTTTTGGTTGGCTAGTTTGATCGGTACCTAACTTTGACATTTGACTATTTCAGGTGTGGTATGCCTAATGTCGTTCATCATTGCCCTGTGTTTCTCCACGTCAACTGGTTCATATGTATTTTTCCTGTTCGACTCCTTCTCTGCCAACATTCCATTACTTATCATCGCCTTTACTGAGTGTATAGCCGTCTCCCATATATACGGCTTAGACCAGTAAGTATACACTCATTCTTTCAGACCCTTGATATTGACACCAATGAAAACATGAAGCCATTAAATTGACATTCAAATATGCCACGTATTAAATCAACCTGGGGCGTTCGGCTCTAGTGATCTTGCTAACATAACATCCGAAGGACCATGATGAGCTTATGCCGTAATGCGGCGTCCGTTATCCGTTCGTCCGTCAACTATTTCTTTAAAACGCTATTTGTACTGAACATGCAGTATGGATTTTTACTCAATTCAATATGGAGCATCCTTGGGCATACGGGACAAAGTTTTGTAAAAGCGAAGGGTGTGGCCCATCTGGGTGCAAAGGGCCGTGGGCCAATAGGGTATTTTGTTGTTTAAATCAATAAAATCCTTCTGCTTCTTTACCACTTGAGTGATTTTATTCGAATTTGGCCTGATGCATTCGTGGGCAAATAGGACTCAAATTTGTATAAACGGAGGGTGTTGCTTCCTTGTGGCACAGGGATGCGGTCCAATAAGAAAAAAATAGTCGGATCTTAAAAACCTTCTTCTGTACCATTGGAAGGATTTTAACCAAGTTTGGTTTAGAGCATCCTTGGGTGAAAGGTAATCATTTTTTTATTTTTTATTAATGGAGGGTGTTTTGGGAAGACGGCCGGGGGCCAAATACGAGAACTTGTCGTAAATGTTCTGTACAATTTGAATTTGTTTAACTTAATTTGATCCAGAGCATCATGTGACAAAGGGACTCGATTTGTTTTTATATAAAGTTAGGTTCCCCTGTATGCAATAGGGTAGGTTCAAGTAGGGGGAAGGTAGTACTAAATGTTTAAAATTCTTCTCTTTCAGTCTATTTTGGAGGAACTTTAACCAAATTTTGTGTAGAGCATACTTTGGCGAAAGGGTCACAATTTTGTATAAATTGAGAGTTGGTCTTACGGGCAAAAGGGCGGGGGCACATAGGGGAAATTGAGGTAAATGCTTAAAATCCGCCCGTATTTATGTGGGCAGGAAGAAGAGCCATTAAAAGGGACGGGTGTTGCTGGGAGACAGAACCAATATTTGCAAACAAATGCAGTATAGTTATAAGCAACTTTAAAAGTATGAACGGCTTCATTAAACAGTCATTTGAGCGTCATACTACAAATTTATTAATTCAATGACAATCGATTGTGTTGTAGCGCTTAACGACTACAAATATATTAGTGTAATCCATGTTTGCATACTGCTGTTTCCTTTTTTGGTGCGATCACATGTGTGTCTTGCGTTCATTCTTCCATACTTTATCTATTTTCAGATTGTCATATGATATTGAGATGATGATTGGTAAACGGCCGAGCTACTTCTTCTTAATATGCTGGAAGTTTATAGGACCTTTAGCCATGATTGTTATATTCCTTGCCAGCATCATAGAGATGTTCAACGACGGTTTGTCCTACGACATATGGGATGCAGCAAAGGTAAAACACTCATTCCTAGCTCTACATGTTGATATCATTAAGACGATGACCTGTCATTTCTGAAATACTGTATATGTGTTTGATTCTACTTTCTTCATTCGACATTTATACTGCAATTATACGTTTAAGCACTACTGCATTTGAAAAACAAAACCAGGATCGCGATGGTATCAGGGTCAATTTGACACTTCCCCTGCCTTCTTTTCTGCACCAACCGGAATAAGCCACGAGATAACTTAAGGATCGCAGTAAGCTATTTGATTAATTTCAGGCATAAAAACCTGACCAATCCCTAGGCTGATGCCTATCTTTTGAAGATTACAAAAAGAGCTATACCCAACGAACACCCGACTTCAAAGTCTGGAGATTTTACCGTTACGCTGCCGTGCGATTCCTTTAAACAGTTATCAGACAAGTCGACTTTTATCATCCGCAATATAAAGTGTAAAAAAAACTTTGATTTGGTCATGACCTATTCTATGGGTGCAAAGAAGATATGTGTACCGAGAGCAGAACACTTGCATTTCGAGGATGGTTATACAAAATTAAACGCAAACAACGACCGATATACCTGTTCTTGCATTTCAGGGTTACACAGTGACAGTCCCATTGCCATGGTGGTGTCTGGTTATCGCCTTTTTGCTGGTGATGTCTTCCGTGATATGGATTCCATTAGTTGCCGTTGTAAAGTACTTCAACATTATAAATTGGAAACCGGAAGTACCAGCTTTCTTCCCAGAAGAGGAACTAGTAGAAGAAAAAAATATTAAGACTCACGTTACCACGACTTTCGAGAAACATGTTCTAGGTTTTAAGCAATAACCAATGTTAAGTTCACGGCAACTAGTGACAGAAAACGCAAAGCAACAGTGAATCTTACAGGGCCGGGGCGGGACACACACCATGGTAACAGATGGATCAAAATCAGGGGAGATAAGCCATGTAACACACTGCACTATTTAACTCGTATCATATTAGTGCCGGCATGATTGTATAACTATAGCCAGAAGTCACATGCCCGTGGCTTAAAAGTAATATGTGAAATGATAAAAATAGATTATAAAGATCTAGAATGAGTATCCAGAATTAATTCTGTGATGTAAATGCAAATCTGAGGCTAGGAAACAGTGCATCGCGGAGAAATATAACAAAGAAACATATTTTTGAATTTGTCAAGCAGGACAGATTTACCAATGAAGTGTGTGCTAGTTGTATTATATCATGTGTTTAGACATGTCGGGGAACAAACCAATTACATATCAAACCAGCTTGGTTTGCATTCGACAGACATCAGTTGGGAACGGTTGACAATTAAATAGGCAGGTATCAGGTATGGACGGCTGTCAGGAAACGGCCATATATCAAGTATGAGCGATGACCTAGGCGTTGTATTCGGACTGGTAAGGATAAGGATTATAGCAAAAGAAAGTTTTATAAAAACACAAAAACCGATAATTACCGACGGCAGGGAAATGTATCACTAAATACAAAATATTCCGTCTTTGCGTATTGCAGAGTTATCTTCTCCTGAGAACAGGTATTGATTGTTACGTCATTTGTTTGTGAGAGTAACGTCATCAATTTTTGAGAAAAACGACGTAATTTTCTCACACAAACCAATGACGTAACAATCAATACCTGTTCTCAGGAGAAGATAACTCTGCAATACGCAAAGACGGAATAGGGGAATAAGAAACATTTTCCATCGATGTATTCTTCTTTTAATATCATGACGCACGTTCATTTGCATAGCCAATCATTTTACATTTCCTAAATTATGTTTGTGGCTATATACAGATGCATTTAAGTAGGAGTAGAAAATAAATATTAAAGTATGAAGTAAAAGTAGAAGTTTGATGATATATTTTGTATGTAGAAGAAATTATCAATCTCAAATAATTGCTATGACTAATTTCAATTTTGTGAATATCCTTTTTCATGGTGACGCTTCCGACTAGTCGACAGCGGTTATTTTATTCTTCTATTCATACAGCCCTTCGAAAATTCATCGAAAAGACATATATGCACGCAATGAACATTAAGAGAGACATTTTCGTTGTCTCGATTCTTGAATTCGCGGTCGAATCTCATATCGAAATAACATTGACGTACCTCTTTCATGTAAACCTTTACAATTCATTCGGGTTTCAGTACATATCCATTTTTACGGATTCGGGAACAATATTTTAATTTCAAAGCTTCATAATATTCTTTCCGGTTAATATGAATTTGCGTGAAAATAAGCGTTAGTTGATCCTGAGTGACAAGGGCAATATCATTGATGGGTTAGCAGGTTTGGGGTGTTGATGCTGTCGGTGGTTGGACTGCCGGGCGATAAGAAACCGATGGAGTTGCCTTTTCCAGTAAATTAGTATGCTGTCGGTGGTTGGACTGCCGGGCGATAAGAAACCGATGGAGTTGTCTTATGCAGTAGATTAGTATGCATTATAGTTTGTGTGTTTTAGTTTTAGTCATAATCAAATATGTGTAAACATAGTGCGTATATATATATAATAGACTATAACAGTATAACTTGATATAGTTTTGTTAAACAAAATGACAATAAAGGTGTTATATATCTACAATCTTTAATGCGTTTTGTTTGAATAATCACCACCGTTTCAACGGAAGGGAATTAACTGTTACAAATTGAATGCAAGTTATAATCAAGGGTGGTAGGTAAATCTTGTACGCCGTTCCCGGACCAGGACTAAAACCCCGTACCAAAGAAATAAAGATATTAATATTTCTCAACAATGAGATAGTTATTTTCATTAGTTTAAAGTTTACTCAAACCAAACAATCGTCTGATAATTTTGAAACTGACAGTAATGTGTATTTCAAGGGGGTAAATCTCAACCGTGAAAATTACGTTTTTTTACATATCATTATAAAAATAGAGACATGTTGTTTTCAGACATGTAGAACAAAAATACCTTACTGTTTATAATTATGCAGATAACCGTATTTGAACATCTGAAATAACGTACACAAATTAAACATTATAATGCATTCAACTTTATCTAACTTGCTTTAAAACTGATCGAAAAGTCCCTCCTATATTCATGTTCTTAAAACAGTAATAACAGTCATCTGTATATAGGTCTCAGGACAAAGATCATGTTGAAATACCGCAGTTTAGTTAGGTTAGCCAGCATTGCGATTTTAACATAAAATTTGCAGCAGGTTTTGTTTTCATAAATATATAAATTGATAACGACTTAGCTTGACAGAGTGATTTCCCCTTAGCACGGGTACGGGAGTAAACAAAACACCTGCGATCTTCGCCCGTGATCAATATAAAGTCGATATTTCATGTGAACAAGGTCGGGTTTTTTTCATTAAAACTGATTTAATTACAAACAATAATGCATTTTTGTTTTGTGGAACTAAAATTAATATGCCATTATATTTCGGATAATTTGTAAAAAAGGATAATGTTCACGGTTGAGTGCGGCGTACAAGTTTTTACCCCTTTAAATATACATTATCGTCGATTTCTAAATTATCAGATGGTTGAAAAACATTTTGGTAAATATCACATTTAGAAAAAAAAAATTGAAATTTTTGTATAATGTAATGAAAAATATAAACGATCGCGTTAATGAGATATGAAAATATCTTTATATTCCTGCTACGGGGTTTTAGTCCGGGACCGGGAACGGCGTACAAGATTCACCTACCACCATACTCAAAGATAGCTTACTATTGAGTTATCTCGCTTTGAACGATAGTCACTATGAACAAAACTTAACTTATAATTTCTTACAATATAGTTTACCAAAATATATGTTGATGTATAGATGACACTATAAAGTCGGCATCAGGTCTGCGCTATCGCAAGAATTCAAATTCACCGATACACCCTGCCTCCAGCACAAATACACACATGCACGCATGCACAAAACAAATGGCGGTATTATGCAGGACCTATATCATACTGTGACACCCACCTGGACACGTCCAACAACAAGAGGGTCATATTCACCAAATCTAAACGCCAAGCAATCTCCAACAAACGGTCATTGTTTCAGAACAAGTTTGGTGCAGTATTAATCTCAAGAATAACGACAAGCTCCTAAGTGGAACCATCTATAGAAGTCCAAATAGTGACACTGACAACTCTATTGCTTTTCACGAAGTGATTGCCAGTATGAACCGTCGACGTAATAGTCGCATAGGCGTCATGGGGGACTTCAACTAAAAGGACATCAATTGGAAAACCAATACAACATCAGTATCGGATCAACACATGGCTACAAAATTCTTAGAATGTACAAGAAATGAATTCCTCTACCAACATGTCAACAAACCTACCAGATTTAGAGAAGGTAATCAACCCACCACCTTAGATCTTGTTTTTACCAATGAGGAGGGAATGCTAGATGAAATAAACTATGAACCCGGACTTGGACTAAGCGATCATCTATCTCTGAATTTCGTTTCTATTTCTTTATTTGAATGTGTGTCGATCAAAAAATACAATGTCATACTTATTCCTGTATTTTTTCAAAATCATCTTCCTATTTTACTGGGTTAGATGACATTCCCCTACAATTTACACAACAAATATTAAGACCTTCGATCGAAAATACTATGTCATATTTATTCCTGTATTTTTCAAAAATATCTTCCCATTTTACTGGGTTAGATGACATTCATTCCCCTACAATTTACACAACAAATATTAAGACCTTCGCCTATAATTAAAGTTGAAGTACAGCGTACGCCGATATCTTGTATTAAAAGAAGTACATACAAGAGGAGTTTGGAGACAATACATATTTAAAATAGTTGTGCTCAGTTTAAAGCAATAAATGTAACCATTTTCACGTTGCCAAAATACCACGCTCAGAGTCCCTCAGACTATTGACAAGATGTGTAGTTATATTTATCAAACAAAGATAACACAGTCCCATCCCCTTTCCCTAAATCATCCCGGACATAACTAACTTTAGAAACCCTTCCGGTATAAAAACAGAATGGTGTTAATATAAACAGTGCATGGTTGTGAAAAAATATATATACAAAACCCACAAAAAAATATACATACAAAACCCACAAAAAAAATATACATACAAAACCCACAAAAAAAATACCACAAAAAAAATATACATACAAAACCCACAACC